CCCCCCGGATCCCCTTGAGTCAGGGGCTTGTGCCGGAGCTGAGCTCTTCCCTCCCTGAAACGGGGGGTTGTGACACCCACCCCTCATCTCTAGCGCCCCCTCCTCACCTAGTTGCCCTGCTCTGACATTTCTCCTCCTTAGCTGCTCTCTCCCTTCTGCCTCGCCACCTCCCTCCTTTCCTTCCTCTTCTCCCATCTAATCTTTGCATCATCCCCCAGCTGTGATAGGGATAGGGGTGGCTGTCCCCAGCGCGGGAGCTGGGCTCACCCCTTGGGTTATGAGCCTGACTGTCTTTGGGATCTTACAGGGCTGTCTGCCAGTTACATACTGTCCCAGGATTGTCCCACATTCTCCATCCTGGCCCTGCTGGTGCTTCCTCTCCCAGCTAGCTTTAGGCAAAGGCCTCCCCAGGCCTGTTATCTTCACTAGGAAGCATGGAGTTTGCGGAGCTAATCAAGACCCCTCGAGTTGATAATGTCGTACTGCACCGCCCTTTCTACCCTGCCGTGGAGGGGACTCTGTGTTTGACTGGCCATCACCTCATTCTTTCTTCGCGGCGCCAAGATGACGCTGAGGAACTGTGGCTGCTGCACTCCAATATTGACTCTATTGAAAAAAGGTATGTGTCCTAATTCTCTCTGTCTTCCTGTACCCAATTGTTCATTTTATTATGGGATGAAAAGTGGTTGTCAGGACTGGTTCACACTGCAGCTTCCCAAAATCCAGGTCTAGAGAGGAGAGTAGCCTAGTCAACTAGAGCGTGAGGTGGAATATTGTCATGGACTAACTGATTCTCATTCAGTTTGGAAACTGTTATGTGACTGTTGCATCTTAAGATTTTTTTTCCTTCTGTCATGTCTTCTGTGTTTAAATTTCTTGTATCAATAGTATTTTTAGTTAATAGTACAATGTATTTCATCAGCAGCTCTTAAAACACTTTATAAAGGATGCATCATTATCACAGTTTGTCAGAGGTGGAAGCTGAAGTTCTCATTAAGTGATTTGCTGAGGGTCACACAGCAAAATTGGAGCAGACTTCTGGCTCTGCCATGAGATCTTCTCGGTCCCAGATCAGCCCTACTGCTAGATTGTAGGAGTAAGAGGTTGATACTGCTTATGAAAATCAATAACACTTTAGCAGCATGCACCTTGTCAGAGTGATGTGGCTAACGTGAGTTGTGACTGCTGCACTTGAGTGTCACACTATTCTTGCCCATCCCCTTGTATCACAGGGGCTTCAGCGATGAATCTTCCAAGCCTTTCCTGGGTTGCTGATGTCATCTCTGCTGACTGTATTCTGCTTGTTTATCTTAATCCTTTGCTCAGTTTGGTCATAACCGTTTTTGCTACAAAGTCAAACCCTGTTTTCCTTGCCCTTTAAAGTAGTTTGGAAGAATAGATTTCCTCCTTGGCAGTAAGACAGAAAAATCTAGCAGCAGTGGTTAAATTATCAGGCTTCCTCAGAATCTAAGAATAGTAAAAGTATCAGACACTGATTAAGTTTGTTCCTGTGCTGCAGTTTTCTCTTAGTGTTTCTGAAAAATCATGCCACTTAGCCAGAGGGAGGAGAGGAGCAGAATGGTGGGAGGCTCTGAAAATCTATTGCCATCCTACGCCGCTCAGTTATCAGGGCGGTTTGGTGTTGTCCTCTTCACTGTCTATAATAAACTAGCCACAGCTGTATTTTGAATATGATTATAGACAATCTTTTTTTTTTTTTGAAAGCTTTTTTTTGAACTTTGGCCTAATGAGAATGCATGATTTTTAGCAGTTAGCGGTGTCTGCAAATAATCTTGGTCAGTAATAATGACCCTAGTTTCTAGAAGATCCCTAGGGTAGATATGTTTGTCCTTCAGCATAGCTTTGTGTGAACACAATTGCAATTAAAAAAGATGAGTGTATATTCTGTTGAATGTTGGAGGGAATGGAGTAACAAGGCTCTTCAAATCAATCAAGATTGTAGAAAGTTCCAGTATGGCACTGCTTAAGATTATTAGTGCACAACCACTGTGACACCACAACAAGCTTAAAATCTAGTCTCCCGTTTTTTTGTTCAATAACATATTTTCCCATAACTGTAAAATGGTCATCAAGCTGTCTTTTACTTTTTAAGCAACTCAAATTTAATCTGTAGGGTTTGCTGAGGAGGGGAGCGGTTTCTGATCTAAAATGGAATTTTTGCTTAAAGAAACATAGAAAGGAGAAGCAGCCCCAGTAATGCATTGTAGTTGTAATATATTATCGCTTTGGGAATCTGTGAAATAGCACTACGAAGAGGGCATATGATGCACAGACTGACTCTGCTGGAACTGGAGACCTTTTCTGTCCAAATGCCTGCAGTTCTTGCTTCAGCACTACCAAAATTATAGTTGGTGCTGTGTGTTAACCTTTGCACTGAAGAAAAGGATAACGATCTTTCATCTGTAATAATTCTGAAATAATTTATGGCTGCCCTCATATGCAGTGCAGGTGAAGCAACCCAGAGCTTAGTAATCAGGTCTCCTTTCAGAGCACGTACAGCTCTCCCCTTGTATATGCATGGTCTAACTACAGGTTAAGTTTAAAGGGACCTTTAAAGGTCCCTTTAAACCTAAAGGACTAAAGGTCCTTTAAAGGTTAACCTTAAAGGTTAAAGGACTTGATTCCTCAATTCTTGTGAGATTCTGCTGCTTTCATCACCCTCTGCTGGTGCAAGCACTGTTGTGGCCTAGAAGGCGACTTTGCTGCTCTTCCTTAGTTCACTGCTAAACCTAAATCATTTCTGTGAACACTAGCTGACAGTTAGCATGAAGAAAATGCTCATTTTTCTGTTCTGGCATCATCCTTCTTTCAGGTATGTGATGGAGACTGGAGAGGACATCTGTGTGATGGATTCTTTTGAAACATAGAACTCCTTCTGGGTTGACTTACGTTAATACCACCAGTGATAACAACCAGTACTTCTGAGGTCTGCAGAACAAATAGTCCCATGTCATTACAGATATCAGAAAGCGAACTCTTCTTTTGTGAAAGACAAGGGAATGTAATGTAGCCAGGCTCAGAGGCTTTTTAAAAAATTAAATTCCGTTCAAATACTTTTAGCAATTCTAAGTTTCAACACAGCACGCCTAATGAATCTGGAAGCTTCCACTTGAATCTTCTAGTGTCATCAGAAAATAGCTGGGTATACCTTTTCTCTTTTAATATTTTAAAGCAAAATTAGGAGGAAAACCTTTTCTCTCAGTCTTCTAATACTTCTGCTCACTGCCATATCACAAGAACAAGATAAGAAAAGGCAGAGCACAAATTGTAAATACCTAAATAGATTTTTTTTTTTTTCCTTCTCTGCTGAATGGATGATATTGCACACAAATTTGTACTAATGGAATTCTGTTTTCTAGGCATATGTTGTGGGGAAGAAGCCATCATATCTCCATCTTAGAAGATCCTGTTCCTCAGAGACTCTTTCTTTGTATCTTGCTGTAGGTTTGTGGGCTCACTGGGTACCATCGTCATAAAATGTAAAGATTTGCGAATTATTCAGCTGGATATACCTGGAATGGAGGAGTGTTTGAACATTGCTAGCTCTATTGAGGTAACAATTCATAATGATACATAATGTTCATCTAAGTGATTTAAGATGTGTTCAGTTGGTTATACCTGCTCAGTGTTCATCTTTCTCATTCTTTGTTGCACTATTGCATAGTGTAGCCCAAGTGCGCGATGCTCTGTGGAAAAATCCATAGGAAGCAGCTGGGTGCTCTGTATCATCTGCTCTTTTTATGCCGCTCTGTTTATATTATATGGCTGTTAAACTACTCTGCATCTGACTGACAGTCACTAGGCGTATAATACAGTATACTTTTTCTCCTCCACCCCAAGTAAAACTTGATTTATATTCTCACAATAACTTTTGACTACCAGTTCTGCTCATGAATTCACCAGCTTACTATCAAGTGAAATGGTTTCAGCCTTTTTTTGAAAAGCGTTGTGATTCAGCAGCAGTCATTTAGCTTATGTGGCAACAGAAGGTGGCAGATAAAATCAAGGACATGCCATGGCAGGCCAGAACATGCTGACACAGTGATGTTGGAGGGTTTCACGCCTATAGCCGTTTTCTAGTGTTTCCCTTTTTGCCACTGGACAAGTGCTATTGTTCTGGCTCATCATTGTCCTTTAAAAATGACTGATAATTTCTGTTAATGATGGGCTGAAGCTCACATGTGCCAAACACTCTTGATTGAAGCAGAGGACTGGGCTGTTCTGGGAAAGCTGTTGCTGGCTGACCTGTTCTGTACATGTCTCTGCAGTTGTGATGGTGTGGCAAAAAAATACATCAAACTAGCAATGAATTCTGCTGCTGTATTGGCTTTTATATACTAAAAGATAGTAATCTAAATCTGTATATATAGTCCAGTGACTTCAGTTTGCATCTGAGATGTTAGATGAAGAAATCTAACAGTCCGTTTTGCTTTGAAATGAGTAGCAATTTGAATTAATTATATTTCCCTCTTCCACTCAGGCTCTTTCCACCTTGGATTCTGTCACTCTCATGTATCCGTTCTTTTATCGACCCATGTTTGAAGTTGTTGAAGATGGCTGGCGCTCTTTTCTGCCTGAGCAAGAGTTTGAGCTTCTCAGTTCAGTAGTAAGTTGGATCTCGAGGGTTTGCACAGATATTCAGATATATCAGAAAAGTTATTTCTTGTTTGATACAAGAAGATATATTTGTGCAAGTAGCTTTTGAAGCATTTCACTCAGCAGTGTCTGGAGTGGAGATCCTGGATGGTAAAACTAGCAGCCTGTGCCTGGGTGGAAAATGAGTGTGGTTGAAATACTCACTCTTTAAACATCACATATTTCTGGTTTATGTGCTAAGTATACCTGTTTGGCACTCACAGCTCACCATGTGCAAAGGGAGTTTTGAGGCCTATGTAAAAGTTACTGGGAAGATATGAAGGAAGTGTTTTTGTCCTTTGGGGATGGCCCTCTCGTTGAAAAAACAAGGAACTTTGGCCTATATTCCGGTTAAAATTTGCATCTGAAGTGGAGCAGGATGAATCCTGCCCTTTGTCAACCTCTTTATTGAAACGGAGCAGTGTAAAATTGCCAAGGGCTTCATAGCTCTCTGAGAAGATGAGAGTAGGTACAAATTACCAATTCAAAATGTTCTTCACTCTAGTTCATAATGGGAAAATATTGGGAGGATTCAGAGAGCTGGGAATTTCCAGTCTTACTGTTCTAGGTGCTCTGAGGTCATGTTGACGTTATCTCAGTACCTGTAGGGTAGGAATTGTTCTCGTGAAATTCTGTGTTGTGTCTGTGTTGGTCAAACTTGTTTTTAGGATGCTGAACTTAATACAGTGGAGAACCAGCTCAGTTGCAAGATCCTATCTAATTCAATAGTGGCTTGGGTTAGTGTATCCTGTTGTTCCAAGTCTCTGTTACATTAAATAGTGCGCTTGCTGCAATTTTTTCAGGTTTCTGAGACCACATCCATTAGTACATCATCAAAAAAACATTTTTATCTGCAACCCAGCCCGTCTGCAGCATAATCACTTCCTGTATATGACTAATAACTGAACAGTATGATCAGTTTGATCAGATTCTGCTTTCTATGCAGAGTTGAAATCCTTTCTGGATTTCAGGAATCTAATCACTTTTGATTGTTGTATTTAACACCATGCAAATGCAGCAGCTAGTGCTAATCCATTGATTTGCTGCTTTTTCTGTGTAGAGGTTTAAAAGAGCAGTGACAACTCTTGGCTTTCTGAATATGTGCCCCTTGGAAGGGTTACACTTTTAAAAAAACAAATTACTTCATAGTGCTAGGTTTCAAGGGCAATAATTCATTCCTTTAAATAAGCATATCTAACAGCTGTTGATTAATTCTTGGCTTTTGATTAATTCTTGGCTTTTAACCCGAAACTTCAACTGCAACTCCTTGTTGAAATAATGGCAACAAAAGCTATGTTAAAATGATTTACTTTTCCTGAACAGCAGCTAGAAATATTGTTGACAAGTATTTCTTGTTGTGTAATTATTCTAGCCTGTCGTATAAGGAAGTATAAGTAAATGGCTGATTATTTATTTATTTTCCCTCTGAAAATTCAAAGGAGTGTAATACAGAAAGTTACTTCCCTCTCCATTAGATCACCCATCTGGGTCTGTAGTGCCTTACCTCCCTCAATATGGAAACATCTTGTCAAGAACTGCATTTTGCCCTCAGTGCACCTCTAGTACTGTATGAATTCCACATTTTTCTGTTACGTGTGAGTTTTAACTCAGACGTTCTCTGATGGCAAAGTGAAACTATAAAGAAGTTATCATTTATATTTCTAATATAATTTAGCTATAACTATATAATAATTACAATAATATATTGATTATAGCTATTTTAATTACAATATAATGATTCATGTATTTCTAGATATTGATATGACTATATGTGATAACAAATAGATACAATTCATCCATTTATCTTTGCATATGTTGTATGAAATACATTGTCCCAATACGGATATCCCCCTGCATGATTCTGTCCAGTACCTTGATTAACAAAGTGTCACCTCGCGTTGTGCTCAGAATTTGATGGCATGCATTAAAACACTGTTTCAGATAGGGCTACAAAGATGATGAGGGGCCTGTAGCATCTCTCCTCTGAAGAAAGGCTGCGAGAGCTGGGTCTGTTCAGCCTGGAGACGAGAAGACTGAGAGGTGATCTCATCAATGTGTACAAGTATCTGAAGGGGGAGTGTCAAGAGGATGAGGCCAGTTTCTTCTCTGTGGTGTCCAGCGACAGGACAAGAGGCAATGGGCAGAAACTGAACCACAGGAAGTTCCACCTAAACCTGAGGAAAAATCTCTTTCCTGTGAGGGTGACAGAGCATTGGAACAGGTTGCCCAGAGAGGTAGTGGAGTCTCCTTCGCTGGAGATGTTCAAAACCCGTCTGGATGTGATCCTGGGCAATGTGCTCTAGGTGACCCTGCTTGAGCAGGGAGGTTGGCTAGATGATCTCCAGAGGTCCCTTCCAACCTCAACCATTCTGTGTTTCTGTGAGATAATCTGCAGCATGGGTCAGCAAAGCTTTTGTCAAGTATGTAGTCCGTGCACTGCTATTCTGATAAATTCAACATATCAACAGACACAATAGCTCAGCTGCAAATCTAAATCAGTGAAATGTTTAGCTGATATCTTTACATAAACGTCACAGGAATGGAACAAAAGACTACAGTGCCTGCAGGCTCCAAATTACTGTACTGTGAGATGAGACTTTAAAGATACCATTGACAAATATATGAATGGAGCGGGAGATAAACAAGACAGTTCATGTTTGTTCATCCAGCTTATTACTTTTTTTAAGCACTGGATAGTGCATGAGTTTTGGGTTGGTTACAAGCATGCCAGGCACCATTTGTATAAAAACTGCATTCCTTACTGTTCTACTGCGTAATGGAGTGGCTGAATGGAATTAGAGTATATGCAACGGGTTTCATGTTTTCTGAGGAGTCAAGGCTTGACGGGAGGGAAACATCTCCATCCTGACCTGTTAACTCCTGCAACTGCAGGATATTGCGAGTGAGTCTTCTAAATTCTGGAAATCCAGTTTACTCTTAAAGCTATATGAAGTCTCTGATCCTGAGGAAAAGTTTGCGCAATAACTGTGTGTTTAACATGAAGGTGTTTCGTTGTCACCAAATTCAATTTCTTCATTCTCTATATTTTCATCATGTTGTCAGAGTAGGACAGAGCGCCGGGTTCTGGTCAGCTTAACTCTACTTTATGTACTGTCTTGGGGCTTCTGTTTGGTGGGTGTATTTTTTGTTTGTTTTTTGGTTAGATTTTTTTGGAATTTTCTGATTTTTTGTGCTCGGTTTGCAATGGCAGGGTAGCCCATGTTTTACTGAAAAGCATCAGTCTTTGCCTGCATCTGTTGTTATGCTCCTGGTCTTCTTGCAATCTGTTATTAAGCAGGGCTTACTGCTTCCTGCCTCTTCCTTGGTAATGCTTTCTGTTATTGCTGCTTTGCAAGTTTCTTCCAGATGCCTGCTCGTGTCTTGACTTATCTTGAAGGCTTATTAGTGAAGCTTGAATTGTTTTACAGTATTATTTTGTTGAGAAGGGCTTTTTTTAGGTATTGTAAGTTTTGGGAGGATAGACAACTCTGATTTTCAGATGGTACTGAAAGGCTAAAATAAGTATCTCTATACAAGTGCTAGGACAAGAAAAGCAGAAGCATAAGAAAGAATTAATCCTCTACCTTGTGCAAAACCCATTGTTGATTCTTGTTTGTTTTTCCCTGTCAAGTCCTCTCCCCCTCCCCAGTCCTTTGCCACTGCCTACTTTAGCTGAATTCTTTTTTTTTTTTTTTTTTCCCTGAATGCCTAAAGAGTACAGATCTCTTTTGCTGGGAGGAGCAGAAAATGCTAGCTTTCTACTCTGTCTAGATATCAACAGCAGATCATGCTAAATGAAATTCAAAGATGAAATCCACTTTTTCATGCTTGCTTCTTCATATGTGCATAATTGAATTGCTGTTCCCCCACACTTCCAGTTAGTAGTAGCAGATGCATTTTCCAGAATTGCAGACAAACCCTAAGCAAAGTAAAAGAAAAGAGAATTTTGCGCTGGTTGGGTTTTACTGTCGTCTAGTTCATCTTTTAGCAATCTGAAGTTGGCACTGCAGAGGTTAACTGGATCTCTGCAGAAGTCTGTATGTTACAGAAGACAAATGGTGCTAATTGCTGCCTTTCTCCTCCTCCTTCCCATAGAGCAGTAAATTATAACTAGATGACATAACAGTATCATCTGTCTCATGATACAAATGGTGAGAGGAGGAGGTTATGGGCAGAGTTAAATTACCAAAGTGGGAGATAAATCAGGTCAATACTCTTTCATTCCTTTTCATACTGGTGATATCAGTGACAGCCAGTCTCTCAAAAAGCATACCACAGAGTTTTCATTTTACCTTCTCTGCATCCTACGTGACTTTACAGTTTTAACAGTTCTTTTCTATATCCCTACAGATTTTTTCACTGTAAACAGATTGCACACCATCATTGGATGAAGTCTACAGTAATTTGACATAGACACCCAAATAAGCTGTAAGAATTATTATTGTTGGAGCACTAAAAGTGTGAACTGTGGCCAGCAGGCCTCCATTATGTGATCTAGTCATTCTTTCATCTCTGCTTGTGACATGATAGCTGGAGGCAGTTTAACTTTGCATCTGGGAGAACCTTGGCATTTTTATAAAAACTAGATGTTCAGAGAAGCTGTTTTGAGGCTAATGAATAATGAAACACCTTGTAGCTGGGCTGATGCAAGACTGTCCAGGCAAGCTACTGAACACTGATAGCAATTGCAGTTGTTAGTAGTAATACACAGAAGCTGTACCTTCCCCAACGTCTTTTTCATAGGCTACAGTAGGCTGCCACCAGAAGGGACAACTGCTTTCTCCCAGGTCACGTGTCCCTTGCATTGCTTACACGATCAGCAGATCCATATCATGAGTCAGATCAGCTTGTTCATCTGATGGAAAAACTTCACTTCCAAAAAACCTTCCAAGTCAATCCTAGTTTTCCACTGGATCAGTGAGCCAGTCGGGCTGGTCTGAGAACCATGTGCCTGCAGGAGCTGTAAGGTAGTAGTATGTGGCTGGACAAAGGAGAGAGGAGAAGAGACCTATTTCTGATCAGAGCTGGGCAAGGACAAGTTAAATGTACATGGAACTAATGTTTCTGAATCAGGTTGAGGTTTTTTTTGACATGGGGTATTCTGTAACATGCTCCTCTCTCACTTCCTCTGATATGTACTTTATCCCCTGCGCTTTTGTCTAGCTGCAACTTTATTTGAACTTGAATGAGCAGGGCTGTTGTGGCATTTGGGTGAGGTCTCTGCCTGCTGCAGTGGCACATCAGCTTCCTGATCTGTGCTGAAAACACCTCAGCTGAGGAATTACTTAGGGTCCTGTTTGCCTTTTCATGCCTGTCTCATGTTGGTGCTTAGTAATAGCTGCTATCAAGGTCTCCTTTTCTATCTGTTCCTGTTCGAAAGGCTTTCTTTATTTCCATTTATTTATTTATTTTTTTTTGCCTGGAGCGTTCCACAGACAAGTCTGACTGCCGTTCTGCTGCGACTTTTAAAAGAGAATTTGACGCTGTTGTTAAAATCAGAGCATGTTTTAGAGGCTCCTGGGTCATTTGTCTTGCCAAAACTTGTGCTCACAGGTTTTGTTGGATATAACAAACATAGAATAAGGATGCATCAACTGAATGTGCAGCTCAGCAAAGCTCTCTGCTGTTGAGGGCACTAAGAGCTCAGTCCCCTGCCAAACTTTAGGCACTGTTCTGCTGTGAGCTCCCTTTCTGTACTTCTGGGGCAAACATATGCCTCTCAGCCATTTGATGTTCCTAGCATTTACTGAGCAGCCTCTCTTTTCTACTGAGTATAACTACATTTGAGACTAAAGGTCTGTCTTGACTATGATTTTGCAGTCACTGCTCCTCGTCTGAGGGTGGTACCCTAATGCAGCAGGCGGTAGCGTGCTCTCAGCCTAGAAGCTGTTTTCCGCCTGTAAATGGGCTGCGGCCAACAGAGCGCGTAGGCTGGGCTTGTTTGAGTCTGCAGCCAGAGCAGTGTCAGCAGTTCCAGCCTGGACTGAAGAGTAAGTGAGGGCTCTTAATCAGTGTGGCCACTTGCTGACCTTTGGTTTTGCTGTGGACAGAGCCAAGTCCTGTGTCTGACCCTGGGTATCTGATAGTGTGTGCTCTGCCAGGTGTCTGCCAGAAGTGTAACCTGCAGGATGCCAGTATTCAGCAGGTTCTTTCACAAGTGTTTGCCTGTTGGAAGCTATGAAGTTATATAACTGGAGCTCATGAGGAGACCTTTGTGCTTAGATGCCCTGATAGTTCCAGGAAGGGCTTTTGGAGGAGAGCTGTACTGGTTTACATAAGGCAGAGCCCCTAGAAAAGAACCAAATTGGAAATGTTAAGTTGCAACTTTAACCTCAAAGCAGCTTCAGCATCTAGAATAGATGGACAACTGTACCTTTCTTGGTCTTCCTTGCCTTGAAGATGGTGGAAGACTTCAGAAAAGTGTGACTAACTCTGTTGTCAAAACAGAAGGAGGTTTGAGCAGATGTTGCCCATATCTAAATCAACCTTTACCTAAATCTGTAGATACAACAGTGTGTTTCTGTTCCAGGGTCTTCCCCAAGAGTGAGAAATATTGTGTTGTTACTTGCAATAAGTTTGAAAGTATTTGCAAATGCAGTAAATCATTTTGTAGCGTATACTGCAGACATGCTGCCTGTTGTGCCTGTGAAACAATTAAAAGCAGCAAATTTCCATTTCTGACAATGCAGGCTTGTTGTGTGCTGTTTATTTGGGATGTTGATAAACGAAAAGTGCAACTATTCAAAAAAATCCCATATCTCAAGAACAAGAGTCACTCAAAACTTGTAGGCAGCAGAAGAAAGTAACTGCACTGAGGATAATGAGCCGCTACAACAAGATATTGATGATGTATGCTACCATAATGGGTTTAAAAAAAAAAAAAACAGTCAACAGACCCATAAATGGATACTAAAAGGACTAGGTGCGGATGTACCTTCTATATCTATAACACGACATTTAAGAGAGGCAAGGGGATAAGGAGTGGACTGCAGAGAGCGGCCGTAACAGCAATATTCTGTTTTTTGGCACAAAACCTAAATGTTCTCATCTCTTTCAGACAGATGAATGGCGTCTAAGCTGCATCAATAAGGAATTCTCTATCTGTCCTTCCTACCCTCCATTCGTCATTGTCCCCAAATCCATTGATGATGAAGCACTTCGGAAAGTTGCCATGTTTCGCCACGGCAGTCGCTTCCCAGTCCTCAGCTATTATCATAAGAAGAATGGTATGGTAAGTTGCGTTTGACTAATAGTTGTATTTGAAGGAAGTACGTGAGTTCAGCCTTGTTTAATGAAAAAATAACTCGTGCTCTAGATGTAATGCAGTTCACGAGGCGTTCACTTCTCTTATTTTTCCAACTCATTTCAAGTGTATGCGTTGAAACTAGTTCTGGGTGATGGAATGAGTAATCTGTATTCTAGAAATAACTATTAATCTGCTTATTTAGCAACATATGTGGCATGAGCTTGTCCTCAGCAGTGAGAGCAAGATGATACTTGTAAAAGCCACCAATGGCAGCCTTGCCTCTTCTGCCAAGAGGCTCCATGATGAAAGGATGGCAGAAACCACATTTTCTTATTTCTGGGTAGTGGGCCATCTCCACAACCTAGTCACGATGACAGCAAGTGTGTATAGAGCCAGGACTGCCTCCGCTTCTGCTGTGTAAGTGTCTGAGGAGTGATTGGAGCAATCTGTTCTTCTAGGCTGTCAGTATAATATGTTTTAGGAGTAGCAAATTCCTACTGTCGCACAGATTTTTGCCCCTTTTTAGCAAGCCAAAATCTAATTGAGGTATTGATACCCCTGAAGCATGCTGTAATTAAAAAATGCACTTTATGAAATAGTCGAGTAATTCTTTGTTTCGCTTGCTGATATAACCATTTCTGAGGATGCTGGGGTGTCTAACTTGCAGCCTATAAACTTGATCCAAGCTTCTGAGTCAACTACTGTAATATGTTCTCACCTGCAGTTGCCAAGGTTTGTAAGTCCTGAATTAGAGGATGTCTAGTCTGACCCAGTAGAATGTTCTGTCTTTTTCTTTTTTTCCCCCCCTCTCTCCTTGCCTAAAAATCAGCCATCCACTAATTTCATAATACTCCTGCTTTCTGCTTTTTCCTGCTTGACTGAAAACTGTTGAAGGGAGATTTGCTCAATTTCATTTCTGAACTGTACATGTTTCAAGTGTGCGGAATATATTAGTGTTCTGCTTGGAGTTCTTGAACTTGTGACAATAATACTTTGTCACATGTTGCTCTCCTGGCTTTGAGTTTGAGTGCAGCTAGACTTGCTGACTGGCTGCCTCACACTTGAGCTGTTGGGATGCAACAGCTCAAATGATGTGAAAGGCACTTTCTGAACAGAAATCTCAGCTAATACTTCTGGGAAACTAGAGTTTTAGTCTAGCCACTGAATGCAACTGTAACGAATAGACATCTTTAAAGCATGAATGACTTGAGTGTTTTTAAAACACTCAGATTAAAAATCCTG